ATTAGAAGATTATGCCACATTAACGATATTTTCAATGTTGCATAAAAAATCCCTTGACAAAAAATACTACTCTATAGATGTACATGTATATGAATAATACACGTACATTTATTTATCTACATATCATTATTAGTTTGAAAAAAAATTCTTAAAAACCTTTTTCTTTTATATCCCTCATTTGATTCGATACGCAAGAGCACACTCTACTTATGTACAATTTCGAAAACGAAGTAACTTATTTACAAATAGATGGATGCAGCAAGAATATCAGCAGTCTCGTTTTAAATCATCATTTCGTAAGTTCTAATGTTGATACAATGACCTTGTCAGCAAATACAATTTATCTTTGAGTCAAATGCCGACTAACAGTTTTCATACTTATTGTTAGTCCATTATATACACATTGAATTGACGACGGATTTTTCCGTTATTTTCCGATCTTGACAGGGATCACAAGGCGGGAGTGACCGGTCGGTAGGAGATGTTCACTCCTCCATGGCACCTGATCCCACCTCTCATATTTTGGAGGTCCGTGTTTACGCTGCTCCTATTTTGTATAATTGTTATTGGACTTTTGAGGTTGAATACTAACTGCTTTTTGTTCTTTATCTCCATATATTTCATACATAAAGCACATAAAGATCATAGATTGACAACCTTCAAAGATTTAGTTCTTACTTGTCAATGTTATATTAGCACTAAATATGTGTCAATTGTTGATAGTATCTACAGGTAAAAACTACCTCAGCATTATCAAAATGTGATGTGAATTATCTCGCTCGACAAACAACATTTGAATAATTTTCACTCGTAAACAATGGCGCTATTCATTTTCATATTTTTTCTTTATTTTTTAGGTTATGGAATATCATTAACCATGTTTTTTTTCTTGTATGCCCACATTGGACAGAGATTCTATCTCTTTGTATGACCTTTTTTATTCACCGTTTTGTCGCCAACTACAAAATGTCCAGGCCAGAATATGTATGACATAATTTACTCGGTAAATAAGTGTTATATTTAGTTCTTGTCAAATATCATTGTTTATGGGACAGTTATTATTTATTATGTTTATTCAAATGAATTGAATTTTGAATTAATTTAGCACGCAAATAATATTTTTGTGAAACGTTAATCACAGAGTGACACCGGGGGAATCTGACAAGGAGACGCGCTGAGGCAAACCTTATTTAGCATGCATGGCTAGGGGTAGATTTGATATTGTGAAATTCAGTTCTTGTTGGTCAAAATATTTTTCAAGAATGTTTGGAAAATATTTTTGCAGTGTATAAATCAAACGTTCAGAATCGGGAAATAGTTCTTAAAAAACACCCGTTAATTCAGCATATAACTATTTTTCACCATTTATATTGCAAGAGCGAGAAAAAAATCTGAAAGTTTGAACTGAAGGTAGAAATCCAAATACCTACAAGGCTACTAATTTATATTTTACATACAACATATTTATGAAATCAATGTTACATACAACATATTTAGGTACCGTATATACTCGCCTATAAGTCGGTCCTTTGTGAGTTAATTCAATGTCACTTATAGGCGAGCTATAAAAAGAAATTGTCATACCTTATTAAGCTTATAATGTACGAGTATATAGGTATGTGTTTTTGGTTTTGATCGAGTTGTGAATAGCATATTTCTCCATTATAGAGCGTTTTCTGATTTTTCATTCAACAACAGGTTCCTTTTTAATCGTTCTTTCTTTCAATTTAATGAAAGAAAAGAAATTATTTTCCATAGTCATTATTTCAAGTAACGGTTTGGACAACACAGGAACACACCAAAAGATTGTCCCTTGGGAAATGTACTGTTCTCGCTTCATTGGGTTTGATTTTAATTTTGTTTTGCCAAATTGATTGAAAATGTTGATACAAAAGTTGCATTTACAACCGTTATTGTTACCGTCCTGCTGCTATGTACTTTTTTATTGAAAGGAAAATATCCAGCGAATTTTTAATCAAAAGTTTAAGTGTAAATAAGAAAAATTATACAGTATGAATAACTTGGCAATTGAAAATATGAAAGTTACAGATTCATAAATTCATTTGAATGTAATATCCGTGTGTGAATACCAAAGCTTTGCAAAATTGAACTGCTTATATCAGAGTTTCTATTTCTTATAAAAATCAATACTGAACATGCTGAGAGGGTCTTAAAGCAACAGACATGAAAATTTGTTTTAAAAGTTATTTTCAATTAAATTCATATTTTAACAATGTGTTTTCGATTATGGTTTTCGACCTTATACCATGACCCAAATGCAACAGGGTTTTAATTAAAATGTTTCAATCCAATGGAATGAAACTTCAAAATTCGACAAAATAAATGTTTTTACATTTAATATGTTGATCTTAAATCTTGTAAAAATAATATGTTGCGAGACAATGTCTGTACGTATTTTTTAAGGGCCCTTGTATAATTGTGGCAAAAGTCAGGGTTAAAGTTTTAAATTTTATGTTTTTAGTCTTTAAGAATCCAACTACTTTTTCTCGTGAGCATTCTCAAATAAACCAATATACAGTATCGTTTTTTTCTTTTGGGGATGAAGACATTAGATACATGCTTCCTAGATGGCTTTTTCGAACAGTTCGTCGCCCTAAGAAGAGGATTTCAATGTAAAAAATACTAACTTCTAATATGCTTTTCAAAGAGAATTATTTCTCATCCTCATTATTTCAACGAAGATATGCACAATACATTTTGTTTTTGCAAGACCTATTTTGGGAGGATTTGCAGTGTCGTTGCCAAATTTAAAATATGTGTGGTAAAAAATATAGTTATTTGGCGTTTTCATTATTTTATTATTTCTTGCGATATTTTCAATCACGATTTCGGTTTTCTTTAATCTATAAATCTCTTCAATTTAGGGAATTTAGAGGGGAAGCTGTACAATGCTGAGATTCTATCAGAATTAAAGCAACAATTCTTATTTTTACTTGGTTTTGTTGTACCCTTTTAACTGTACGTAGGAAAACAATATTGTTTATTATTTATTCAATTTTATTTTTACCATATATTATTGTTAATCCCTTAAAGTGTTTTGTCAAGTGTTGAATAATTTTAAGGCAAAATATTTTTTAAAAAACAATTGTTGCCATTCAAAAATTTTCGACTTTTGTTTTATTTCAGGGGCTTTATTTATTTACTAATTAATAAATGTATTTATTTGTTTGTTTATTTAGTTATTTATTACTTTTCTGTGCAATGAAAATTTCAGTCTTTCACATTATTTTCCAAAATTCAAATTTTACAAAAAAATTACTTTATTCAAGATTTTTTTAATAGAACTAGAAAGGATTCCTTTAAAATAAACTATGTGTGGAGCCTTTCTCCGGCGAAGCGAGGCGCACATAAAAATTAAGCACCCTTCTACATCGCCTTGTAATGGCTTCTAAATAACGAGCGCCATAATCTGTTTAAGTAGAAATACAACGGGTCATAAATCAAAACGCCAGGCCTTCTGTACATTTTCTTGTATTTGAGATATTTCTCAAAATCTTCTTTATTTATTGTAAAGGAAATACTACCTGTTGACATTTTTGCACGGAAAATATAAAGAAAAATATATACACTTGTTGTGATGGAAACGAAAACATTACACAATTGTCATGCGCATTTATTTGATTATGTTTCAAATATATTTTGTTGAAATATGAGGAAATGCTGTTGTGCCGGTTTTATTCGCGTACATGGGTTTCAGGCAATTTATTTTCAGAAAATTCCAAATTAATTTTCCTCTTGGCCTACAAAATCATACAAAAATTATGAGCCGTCGGGAGTTTCCTTGCATATTTTCCCCTTAATGTTGGAGAAAATTTAAATGAAGTACATGTATTCATTGTAAAATTTCGAGAATCCGAACATATCTTTAATTTTTTTGCCAACAAAAATAAACAAATTTTTGTGGGAAAAAATTATTTTATTGACATTCGTAGGCCAGAATTGAATTTACTTCCACTGACGAGCAATAAATTAATACCTCAGAATGTTTTTAATTTGTAAGAAGATTTGGGTAAATTCAGGAAAACTGTAACTAGTCTGTGAAATAACGTCTGTTATTAAATTTATTTGACATGAAACACGAAGCCTTAATCCCCGAAATTGCAGTCCGGACCACAGATCAGGTCGGGGTTTAAGAAGTCGGCCATCCCACAATTGTCTGAGGAATTAGGCCTGAACACTACCCGTCCGTTTTAACTGTCCAAGTCACTGAGCATGTTTGTTAACAAGCCTCCAATGGTTCAGTTTGTCTACAAGTCTCTTCTATCCAGATTCATTGAAAAAATGTCCAGATATTTAGTTTTTCTTGCACATTAAATCACTACATGCACTAGGTATTTTTACATATAAAATATTTGTTTTTAAATTTTAAAAATTATTTTTTTTTTTTAAGAAAGAAAACATCCAGTACCTGAGTTAATAAATAAATAAATAAATTTTAGCTAAAAACAATTGATTGTTATTTATTTATGTTTTCACCACGATTAAGTTATTTCAAAATGAGGTCTTAGATAAAAAGTTGAGATTGCACACGAGTGATTTGACAGATTACTCCGCGGATGTTTTCTATATGTCTCTTCTACATAGTAAACCTCTGGAGGCATCAAAAGTTTAATTTGGTTAAATCAGCTAGACATAACTGCACCCTTTACCCGTGACCCCTCGGATCAAATAGAAGCCAGCCATTATTCCGAATGTAAAATGAGCAGGGTACATTTTGTTTATAGAGGCGACCTTTTCACGGTCACTGACTCCAAAATTGAATATGGGTCGAGATTCAATATGTACATATCTGTGTAGTATCGACAGAAAACAGAGCCTGTCTTTCACTGCTAAATCAGGGGTCAGACTCGACACCGACTGCTAATGTTTTATGTCTAATCAAATAACCTTCCCTCGTTAAGGGATCACATTTCAACAAGAATGTCAAAAGAAATTCATGATTTGTTAAAATCGGACTTAAAAAGAAAATGTGTAATTACCTATATCGGATCCCGTGGAAACCGGCACTGATGAATTGGAATTTTTTCTCATGTTCTTCTTCTCTTTCATCCATGCGAATTCGGGGTATTTTCCAGCATTGTTGGAATCTCGGCCCCTGGGGTCGCCTATCCCCGGCCCCCGGGGGTCAGCATGTTGTGATAGAGAGGGGTGATTTGCCGTGAAAGACTGACAATATGATCTTGTGTTGCCTTCAGAGTTGATTGATGGAGGCTGTAAAGTTTCATTGATAAGCGGGAGCGAAGTCATAAATTCTGCAATGCATGGTTGACTGTTTATAAATCCGCTTTCTCTCGGTTCGTCCATGGTCATCTATAGAACAAATGAAGATGGCGACAATCAGAGACTCATTTTACATCCCATTTTATGTATATACTATAATTGTGTCGTATATACTATTACTCAGGTGACACACAAACTTTGTATAAGTACGATGAACGTCTCTCTTAGAATATTCAAATATTGAGAGGTCATGTGATTTGCCTAAGCCAATCAATTTCGCCAGAAGGTAAAACTTGACAGCTAACGGTGGGAATATAGAATGCATCAATGAGGTATCTCCAGCAACTTCGAAAAATGCAAAATTTGCACAAATCCTTTCTTTATCAATAAGTAAAGTATTATTTTTCTAAATACACGGATAAATTGGCCGGTAGAAAAGACAGATTCCGGAAAGTGTTATGATCTCTTAAGCCATTTTTTACGAGGTTTTTAGTGACGAATTCATGTCAGTAGCAATATTACGATTTTTTTACCTGTCATAGATCTTTGTGACAAGCTGTAAATCATTTCTTTAGCGAACACGTCAGCTACAGGGGGAAATAGTTCAATAACGATCCAGCTCACAGACTCAAACCTGCTTTGTGTGCAATGGCAAAAAATCAAACCCTTCCAGACTGTGGGATTTTAAACATTCCAGTTAGCTGTCTTTCGGTATTTTCAAAGTTTTCTTGACGTGGCCTCAAACCTATTGGATGCATTACACGTCAAAAGTCCATTGGATACATGTGTTTTATCACGAACTGTCAAAGCAGATATTTACTTTTCAATGTGACGTTTACTGTGCAGTTTGATTTGGTTCACTTCTTGAAATCCGATGAAGAGTTTTCTCTTAGTTTTTTGGATCTGATTCAATGTTGATTTTTGTAAGTATACAATAAAAAAATGCAAAGATAAAATACTGATTTCGTTATGATTCAAATCCTTTTTTTTCAAAAATATTAAAAGTGTTTTCCGGGAAAAAAATATGAAATTTCTACAAAATGGAGACGGAGAATTATTATTAATTTTCACGATGGCGTGAGATTCCGTCACAAAGCGTAGTCGGTCTGCCGAACCTGTAGTTGAGAAGTGGTCGCGCTCTCATGGTAAATGAGGCGTCCAGGTGCCGGCCCGGCTCCCGCGGAGCTCGGACATTGATCTGCGCCCATTGTCCGGCGCGGTGTTAATCAAGTTAACGGGAAAATAGAAACAAGATACAAAACATTCAAATTGGATTATAAAGCATAGTGAGAATTTTTACGGACAATTTCATCCTAGAATGCTTCTATACATCAATGAAAAATCGAAGATGACAAAAAATGTAGAAAAAGAAATTTTCTTGTAAAATAACCTGCTGGTTTTTTCTCATAAAATTTGTTGTCCGAGGCGTTTTCTTTTTAAAAGTATGACTGATATTTTTTTTTCATTTCATATTCACGTGTTTATTGTATAAAAAATAATATTATGCATAATTTTGAATTTTAAAAATGAACCGCCACATGCATTATATCTTCTTTCCATTATAATAATTGTGGTTAAATTTCAACATGATTTGTATAAGTTTATTCTTTGACAAATTACCTGCATTGCAAACTCCGTATAATAAACAGATTTTTCAAACAGATTCCATAAAAACATCAAGGGTCGCGCTCACATTATAAATGTTTCACAATGATAATTATAATATCTAAATATACAATTTATAGAAATACATTTTTCAATTAAACCAAAATTTGAATAAATTAACATATAGTATAAGCGGCTACAAATGGTTTTCTTGGCGTTTGATTTAAATTTCAAATCGAGGAACGTCAGTGGGCAAGGTGCCTCCTAAACAAGCAGCTGCCTGACATGTAGGAGGTGTATTTCATTAAATTAATCATCTAGCAACCATTTCTCAAAATCTTGTCAACCATTTTTTCTCCCAACTATTCTGTCTCGAAATCTCCCGGTAATTAACAGGTATTAATAAAGTCAATTATCTTAATCCGAACATTTTAATTACTGTGGAATACAGATATGTTTTGTATAATGAAGAGGAAGTTTTGGTCTAAAGTTTTCCGTCTTGTCTGATATTGATTTATGACTTTTTTTAAATATGAAAAAGTAAGGAAAAGTTGAACATTATAACTATCCGTAAGGTTCTGTATTATTTTTAAAAACCAAACCTGACTGGACTTAAAATTTATTTTGCAATACATGTATATAAAGAAAATCTCGATGCAAATGTCAACATTTTAAAACAACAAACAATGGTTTTGAGTCGTAATCTTCTATGACAATTTAATGATGAGAACAAGATGATTGGGTCTATCTGGTATACCAAGGGAAAACTTGCTGCCACTGCCCACTACCGAACAGATGAAGCTGTCAGAGGGTAACGAGAGAATGATGAGGTGGGGAATTAGGAAGGACAGGGGCCACGGCATTCCTGTCTTTGTTACCAATACTTATGTAAGGAACCCAATCAGAATGGAGAGGATCTTCTTTTCATTTTCTGTCGCAATCGAAGATCTTATGTGATATTACAGACCATGAATGACAGAAAGTTTTAGAGAACTTGATGACAAAAATGGCTCTCATGAAAATTATATGACCAAGGAGTTTTTAGGATTACAGAGGCATGGTAAAATGATACATTTTGAAATACCTTCTTTCCAATTAAACATACGTTCGATTTAATATTCTCTGTAAAGTGCATATTTATACCCCCCGCTTGAAAAGTGGGAGGGTATACTGTAATCGGTATGTCCGTCCGTCCGTCTGTTACGCTTTGGGGTACCCATCTCTTATCCGCAACTCCTCTTAAACCCCTGAGTGAAATTTAATTAAACTTTCACAGAATCTTTATTACATATTGCCATTGTGAACCTCCTTTTTTATTTATTGATCCGACACATATTTTGGGTTTCCCGGCTACAGCAAAACATTTACTTTGCCATTATAATCATATGGGAGGTGGGGGTATCATTTAGTGAGCTCATTGTCAGTACTTAAAAAGCATCCAGTTTTGTGGTTTATTCTGAAAATGAATGATCCTGTCTCTGTTTGATCATCTTGACCCTTGACAGTCCTGTTTCGTTTATACATATTGTACTTCAGACTAGATATGGGTTTATTTACCATATGCATGTTACTCTATATATCTGTTTTCATACGCAATATAAGGAATTTAGTTATCAAAACAGGATTATAAAAATGTAATTTGCAGCTGCAAAACATATAAATGCGGTGAGAAAAATATGGGAGCTCTTGGCTAACGTTTATTTTGCAAATTCACAGGATTGATATTTAGTTTTAGTCCCTCATCACACATATCTATATTTCATAGGCGTGCTTTTTTCCTAAAAAATGTTTTTTATTGGAATGCATATAAATGTCGTGTTTGAATTTGAAGTTACACCCAACTGAGTAAAATATTAAACATGACTGAGGAATGTAACATCAAATCATAATTTTAGCTGATTTCACGATTTCGAATAAAATCAATTCTACATTAAGAGAAATTTTATCCAAGATTATTTTATTTTGTTGCCACGCAAGTGTTTTACCTTGAAAACTTAAACTTGAAGAACTTGAATATCTTTCACTCAAAAAAATCAAGAGTTAATTAATTTTGTCAATAAATGTAATATTTAGACGTTTGTAGCGGGATTCAATAGAGTATGACCATAATTTGATAGCAGGGCCATTAGACTTTGATTTACGGCGAAAATATAAACCATAACGTTTCCCTAAAAAACCTGCGACAGGTCTGCATGTTGTGAGGTCTCTGCTTCAGTGTATTAAGATGCTATCTCTACCAACTTCACTTGACTCATTTGCATATTACCCTAGCGTGGAGAAATTTGAATCATATATAATCAGTTTTATTGTCGCCTCAAGCCTGTAACCTCCGAAAGTGTTTGTGTTCTTTTATGTAAAATTTACAATGATATATATGTCTTACGGCTGTCGATTCGAGCCACATACACGGATTTCTTTTATCAGCAGCTATTTACCATTTTCACCCAATTTTAGGTATATTTTTTATTTTATTGCCTTCTCTTTTGATCAGGGATTAACAAAATGAAAAAATATCGAGGGAAAAAATGAAATTTTAAATGTATGTCCTTGTTATGTATCATGACGGGAAAACTAATTCGGAATGACAACAGTTGAGTTTAACTATCAAATAAACGTATTGAAAATATCATTCTCATAGAGGGATTATTATCTGACAAATATTAATCAATTATAGGCAAATGGTTATTGACCTCGTTGGTTCACTGTCACATTAGTAGAAACCAGATAGTAATAATTTTATCATCCCTAGAAATTTGTTAAGTTTTCTTGCATTCAATATCATTTTCATAATGCTAATTTTTTTTTTAATTCTACATTTCAGAATTTTAAATGCGCATTTTGATATAATCCTGATTTAACAGGTTTAAGTATAAAATCACAACTATGCTTTTTTATTTTATTGAAATTAATCATCACTTAACAGATCTTCAACTTTTTCGCATTTACTTTTTGTTCTCATGTGTATTACATTACATGTATAACACGAATTTTAACCATATTAAGAATATTTGTTGTTAAATAAATCACAAATTGAAGAAATGCAAACTTTGACATCAGCCATAAACTAAATTATATTTACAAGAGATACATTACATCCAATTGAGAATACCATTGCACATCTTTTATTGTTCAACATAGTTTAGACTCAGACACTATTTAACGATATTTTTTGATAAAACATTTCTAATTTATAAAGCATCTGTCCAGATAATGTATAAAGTTCATATATCGACTGAAAAATCAAATAAAGTAATATTGCAAAGAAAGAAAATACATGTATTTTGTTTGAAAGCATCAAGTCCAAAAACAAACTAAACGTGAAAAAACATAACTTTTCTTTATTTTTTATTTTATTTTTTTTCCTTTCTTTTTTTTAAACTAGAAAAATAAAGGTTTTTCTTTTCTTATTTAAAAAAAAAATAAAACGCCGAGGGGCTTGGAACCACAAGAATTCATAAGACGGTTTCCTGCTTCTGTTTCTATAATAAGGGAAATTGTCAACACTGGACAAGTGTGCAATAAATTAAGCGCTTATTATCATTCCAGCTAGTGTCTTTTCATATTAAATCTGTTTTAAAATTATGACAAAATTATCTATGGTTTTCTCCAAA